TTACCAACCAATCATCATCGTCCATAAAATACAGCAGTTATTGCATACTTCGTATGCAATAACTATATAATATTTTATAATTATTGAAATTTATTACCAAATCAAGATCGGCATATGCAACAGTTCTTCTTTCAAGACGATATTTGATTAGATTATTTTTTTCGAATATGTTTTCCATATCATCATAATGGTTTTTAATGTGTATACCATGGTTTAAAAAACTTAAAGACACTATTTTTGTCAATTATAAAAAATTTAGTTAAAAAATGATGAAAGAAACCATATATAAATATATTGATATAGTAAAGAATGCATACACATGTCTTCAAGGCGTTTACAAATAGGACCAGCATTTATCATATTTGGGTCACGATCTTGAATCTCGATCCATCCACCAGGTTTCAATATGCGAACTAAATCTAATAAATAATTTAAACTGTTACTTAATCTGATTAATATGTTATTAATCAATATAAATTTAGCAAAAAGAAACTTTTTTTGATCTTCTTTACCGGGAAATAATTGTTCCCTAATGATTTTTAATGGAATGTGATGGAATAGATCCTTAACGTGTATATAATAAAATGAACAATCACTGTATGGCAATCCTTCCAATATATCACATTGCTTAAAAGTTACATTTGGAGGCATGACATCAGATGGAAAAATTGGCGCTATGTCAACACCAGTAAATTCCGAAAGAGGATAATCAGATGCCTTTTGAAATAAATTCTTAATATGTGTTTGATAATGTTGAACCGGTTAAAAATTATCCAGTAATAAAAAATAAATACCATTTCAAATGCCCAAAGACCAGATCCGCATCTTTTAATTAAAAATAATTATGCTTAATGATAGAAATTAAAAAAAATCATTATGAAATTATATGTAAGGCCGCTTGCAGTCGAGTTTTCGGTTAACATCACTTTTAGAACTCTTGGAAGAACATATAAAAATGGGCTAATTTCATTGGTTGACGTAGATCAAGTGAATGGTAAAAGTTATCCAGCATTTGATTGGTTGTTCATTTTTCGGAGGAGACTTCAGCTGAGAGGGGGATGATGTTAACCGAAGAATTAACTTCGAACGGCCTAATATACAGTAACTTACGCAACATCGAGAACTTGAATTCCTCCAAGTGTTAAGGTTGTTTCTATAGGTGAAGAAAAATTTGATCTCCAAATATGCCAATCTACGTCGTGCTAAAAATAATAAAAATGACAAAAATAATATAATAATAATAATAATAATAATAATAATAATAAATGTAGTTATAATGATTAAAATTATCAAAAGCTTTATATTTAATAATTATAAATCTAAATTTACATACCCTTAATTGCATCCTGTCAGATTCAAGTTCATCGAGTGGTAAAAAATAAAATATGCTTGCATTTTTAAGAAATCTTCGGCCATTCTTGTATTTAAACAATGGATCATCGTCTTTAAGAGTTTTCGAGTTAGTAGCAGTAGTCGATGCGCTACTACCCATTTTGCGATAAAAAATAACTCTTTTAATAATAAGAGATTGTATTAAAATGATAAAATATGATAAATGCTAAAAATATATTTATATCGAACGTAAAAGAATGTGAGAATATGTTTGTCGCGATGACAAAACAGAATTAATAATAATTCGTAAGTGAAAAAAAAATTTTCATTGTGGTTTTTTCAAACGTCATTATGTTTGTATATTTATTGAAAAAAAAAGACTTGGCAGGTTATAAAATTGACATCGGATAAACCACCTCCGTTCTTTTTTAATTTTCAATGTGTACAGGGAAAATACAATTGTGAAATATGTATGTATTCGAAAAAAAATTTTCTTTTATCAATGAATTATTTGGAATTTTCTTAAAACAAGTGTGGCTGTTATACCTCCAGCAAATGATGTAACACCGGCGATGCTTATCATGGATCGCACATTTAATACACTCGTATTAAAATACTTCAAAACTAAACAAACAAATAAAGGACTTATGCGATTATGTGTTTACTTTTATTTACGTAAATGCTGCTTATTAAAGATTATGTAGTTAGAATATAGAATTATGTTATGTTTTTCCAGAACCGGTGTTACACTACATTTATTTAATAAAAAAATATGATATACGTATGTAAAGTAGAACGAAAAGTCGAATATATGAATGCTAGGGGGGTTATTATCATGCAATAGAGAAATTTTATTTAACCATAATTATATTCCTCCAACCATAAGCATGTCTATGTATGCACACTAATTCTTCCTTTTATTGGTTAAATTTTCTTAAGTAAATTAGAAAATTCCGTAGAATTTATATCAACTATTCAATCTTTACCTTTTTAATCTAACTCAACACTGAAAAGTTTAAAGTGTTTTAAAAAGTGGCTTCAATGTTTTCATTTATTTAAAGATAATCTATAAAAGAATAAATAAAAAAAACGTCAAATACAAAAATAACTTTTCATAAGATTATGCTACAATACACAACTTGCATAGATTAAATTGTGTAACCACCGGAATCGTGATACATACCGACATATATATGAAACTATATATTGAACCCTTGTGATTATACATGGAATTCTTTTTTCATAAAGAAGCTAACCAATTAAAATAACTAATTATATTTGTTATTGACTTTTGTTTATTGAACAAAAGTTTTATTAAATATTATATATCCATAATTAGGTAACTATGTTGATAGTTGACACCATGAGTAAATTATTCACCATATTAGGTGGATTAATTATTTACTATGGATTTTAAATTAAATTATAAAAGAAGCAATTTTTTACGCCAATTTCTTGAATTTTAATGATCGAAGATGTTTATCATATTGTCGCCCATTTTTTCAATGCAAAGCCTAGTGAAAAATTTGGCGTTACATCTTATTAAAAACATTAGGTACGTACTGCACGTATCTGGTATAAATGTTTGCTTGCGTGCGTGTGTAAGTACGTACGTGTTCGTTTATCATTACCTTAACATTTGCAATAATTTTTGAAATTGTCATAAGGCATTGATAAATGGAGCTGTAATGGCGTAATCTTTATTGTTACTATAGTAACATTGATCCCTTTAAGTAGTTATAGAAAAAATTTGTTTTGTGTTTATGTTATGTAAGGAACCTATTAAATACCCAAAAGTAAATTTAATCGACTAATTCAAAAATCTGATATTACCGCATATATCAGATATATATATTATTTATTTATTTATTCATTGTGAATATCTAAAAAAAAAAAAAAAAATGATATTGATTGTTGTTTTGAAAATCAATTCCAATTATTATCTTTAACCAGTTTTTTCTTTGTTTAGATAAAAACATGTTTACTCTTCGCCTAAAAAATATTTATTCATTGCCTTTAAATATTCATAGCCTTTAAAAAATATTTACACCATACATGTTTATTTATTTGTTTTTTGCAACAAGGAGCTCCAGTAATGTTTGAATTGGAAACATCTAATAAACTTTAACTATATATAACGTGTATAGAACGCATAGAACAAATAATATGTGTATTTTTTATAATAAATTATACCATTTGTAAAATACAGTATTTTAACATTTGATTAGGAATATTTCTTTTGAATTTTATTTTTTGAATTTGCAAAATTTAATTTATTCAATACCAAATTCTTTTAAATAATATCGTATATCTCATACTGTAAGAGGAATACTAAGTAAATCACATGACCACAATACCTTGTCCAATCTTTAATATAAGTTGTTGCTAAATGAATTGTTACTAAATGAAAACTAGAATTCAATTTTTTCCAGTAAATTTATAAACCAAAGGACTTTGCCCTTGAAAGTCTGATAAGCAACGTGCTAATCAAACTTTTCAGGGGATAAACTTAGCTCAAATATTACTAAGATCATCCTTTATCGTACGTATAGTATTAATATTAAATGTTGCGTAACGGTAATAGTAATAGTAAATACAACTTGACGGTTAACTATGCCGATACCGATTTAGAATACCGACTTGGAATACACGTGACTTAACTATAACGCAGCTCTCGTAGTGTTGGCCATATTGTGTCAGTTAATTCTGCTCGCTGCGCATATGTTGTACGTACGCATGTAATGTTAAGTTGAAACTCTGTTTGCAATATTGATCAAATTTGTAGATCGCTGCACACTATACAATCACTTGAACAATCCACTTGATTGTTGTCTGGTTGTGCGATTATACAATGATTTTTTGTGAGAATAGATATGGTCGACATATCTATGAAAAAAATGCATGTTTACAAGAGTCAACAGATCAAAAAGACAGAATGGTCAGGGTTACACACCACATTGGGGTGGCAGAACACTCAATAGAATCAAACATACGTCTAATCTCATTTGATTTTGTATAATTATAGATTTTTCTGTTTTTTAATCAAAAAATTATTACCGCAATTTTTATAATAAAGAATAGTAAAATAAATTTCGTATTTCGCTTTATAATAATTTTTCTTTTCCAATTTTAAAATTTTTCAATCTTTATTGCAAACTTTGCATTTTCAAATTATACATACCGTATTAAATTTAAAATTGATATATTTAAACTATATACATTTCAATTTGAAATATATTTATTTATTGATTGAAAATTTTAATATGGTTTGTAAATTTGAAATATAAAGTTGTTAGAATGCAATAAAGATTGAAAGATTTTAAAATTGGAAAAGAAATATTATTATTAAGCGAAATATAACGAAAACATTTTCGTTATTCTTTTATTCTAAAAGCTTCATAATGAAAATGGTAAGGCTACACACAAAGTTAATTTTTCGTTTGCATTAAATGGATTTCAAAATCCCGGGATTTTTTTAATCTACAGTAAATTAATAGACTTATGTTCACATTTAAGGCCACACAAAGTTAATTTTCGCTTTGCATAAAATGGAATCAGAAAATTGGGCCGACTATCGAAATTTTTTATTAATTATATCGGACAATTCCGGAAGATAAGGCCTCGTTCGGGTGATACCGGATTGGTTTATGAAAAAAATTAATTGGCAAAAATAGAATAATTGGCACAATTGGGCTTAAGAAAATTTTTTTAAAAAATTGAAAAAATGGGTCGCGGGTTATGCAAAACGAAAAATCAACTTTGCGTGGCCTAATATTTTTTTTGCTCAAAAAATCTATAATTATACAAAATCAAATTAAACTAGACGTATGTTTGGTTCTATTAGGTGACCTGCCCAACGCCACTGCTACTATCCTGCCCAGTATCGCAGGTTGAAGATCGAAAGAGATACCAGACCGCAGTAATTTCATGCGAATATAGCTACGTAACAGAAAAACCACCGACCTTAATCAATATATAATAAATCACTGGCAACATTCTTTTTCCCTTAAAACACAGCCAAGCATTATAACTCGACCCAACACTTCCCACCACACACAGTAGTCTCCAGATACTCCCATTTTCCTATTTAACAGCCGGCCTGCTTCAAGCCGGTGGGAAATCACCGACTGATGCTGCTACTCACTCGCCCTATTGCTACGATGATACCTGGGCGCAATCTTACTTGCCCCGGGAGAATATCATCGTTTCAGTTTAAATTACTCTGTTCAAATTACTCTTAATGTATTCTGTGGACTTAAAGCTAGGGTGTTCAATAAATTAATTGATCAAAACTTAGTTAGGGCCATATGATGATCATTAATTTCGGATTTTTTAAAGGGTTATTTCACATATAAATTTGTACTAATTTGGGTACATTTTTCTACACAACCAACAAACAAAATTGTATATATTTTTTTAAAAAAAACTGTAGTTCTAGACTAGCTCTACACTGTAACAGAACCGGTTTTTCAATAACTTTTAATAAAATTTTGGATTAATTTTTATTAAAAATTAACATAGGTTATTTAAAAACCGGTTCTGTTACAGTGTAGAGCTAGTCTAGAATTACAGTTTAAAAAAAAATATGGTACAATTTTGTCTGTTAGTTGTGTAGATAAATGTACCTAAATTAGTACAAATTCATATATAAATTTATATGTGAAATAACCCTTTAAAAAATCCGAAGTTAATGACCCTAACTATGTTTTGATTAAATTAGTTCATTGAACACCCTAACTTAAAGCCCTTTAATGAATTTATTTCCGGCGACTTTGGCTAGGAGCATTCTTCCAATCACATGACCAGCCTACCTATGTTTTTTTCGTATATTTTTACTTTACAATCACGCAATCGCACAGCAATCGATGTGCAAAAAAAAGTGGCCCATGATATTGTGACATTGATTTAGGAAATTTCCGAGATTCTAGATTGTCTGCAAATCATAACTCTTGATTAGTTATATTTATATTTATTTGAAATTCGGTAAAATTTTTAAAAACTACAAAACCACATTTCTCACGATGCAATGTGATCTGCAGAGGTTTCATCTCTTTTACAAGCAAATAATTCCAAATCAAATTTAGTTTTCAGTTAAATCGCAATATATAAAGTTTTTTTTTATATATACAAGGAAGACTATAGATTAAAATCTCGATATAGTAAATCAGCATATTCTTGGTGTCATTAATCATAATTTTTATCATAAATTTATTCTTTTTTCTTTTATTAATCATTTCTCTGGAGTTATTATTTATCCCTCAAGCTTTATTTCAAGAAATTTAAAACGTAAATGAAAGACGAAGAAATCTAATAGAAATACCAGGAGCGGAGTGCAACGATGTGTATGGTTATTTGAGGATTGAAATGAGTGAAATGGCGTGTGCAAATACGTTCTTCTGAAAAGCTATACAAATGTAAGTTATACCTCGTCTTTGCCTACTTTGCTATTAGTGTGTGTCACTTAACGATATGGTACTTCTAAAAAATAATAATAATAAATTACAAAAGTGATTTAAAACCAAACGCCGGTTTTTTCCTATTGATTTGTAACGGTTCTACCACAAAATCTCGAAAGCCATTTTCCCAAAGAACATAATACCGCCCAAATTGGCCAGCATTATAACTAATGCCGGATAACTTTGTTCGTATTAGGTCTTTTCGGGAATCTGTCATTCTGGATTTTGTGGTAAAACTATTGTAACATACGATTTGTTAAACTGTTTTTACTTAATATAGATTCTTTATATGGTCGCTTGTAACAATTACAATATTAACCTAATATCCTGAGATCATAAACCTCGAATATGATGATCCTAAATTTCCAGGTCAGGTGCTGGTCGGTTGGATTGGAATTGCCAAAATTTTACTAATGAAGTTATAGCTATTCTGAATATTTCTATAGACCATGCGCAATTTTAACCTTATCAATGTTGCATAGTGTACGTACGTACGTAATTTGCATGGTAGCATGCTGGATGACATCATTTATTTATTAACTCATCAAAAAAATGGGAATGAACTCAACAATATCAGCTGATCCTAATAACCATGAAACTCCAAACATAATACTATGCACACCATGTGCATGGTGCCCATCTCTACTGCTAACCACTATAATGTCGTCTAGCTTTGATGCATTCTGGAACTTATGGATCCTTCTTGATATTTATAATCATAGCGATAAGCGTATGCAAATTATGTACCACAAATTAATATGGTAATCGCTCCATATACGTATTAACGTTTTCTTAATAGAAAACTTTTATCTATAAAAATTTTAAAATTATAATTTAATATTCCCATCTGTAGGTTTTTTTACCTTTATTAAATCTTTTTTTTTTATCTCACATGATGACTAACATATTTTTCCAATTAACTATCCTGCAGTACACCCGATAACCTGCTATAACCAATAAAAAACTGATCCACCATTGCCTTTTCCATAATTCAAACCGATAACCTGCCATAACCGATACCCAAAGGACCAGATATTTATGATATCGGATTTGACAGGTAATGTATACATCGATTTGATTGGCTCAGATCAGGTTTGCGTAACAGGTTATATATGGGTGTGAGGGAGAAATCCTGTACATACGTTGTGAGCGGCTCCCTGGTGGTCACGAGCCACATGTTTTCTTTTTTTTTATATTTTTTATATTATTTTTTTATTGTTATGGATATGTTATTAGTGTTATTTATCTATTAGTACTATATAATCT